ACGGTCGCTTTATTGACTAATGTAAGGCTTAAATCAATTTTTAGCTATTCTTGTATTTTATTGATTATGGCTTATTTATTACCGCTTAATTAATTATTAAATTTTTTTAATTGTTTGGACCCAGATGCGATACGCATACAAGGTATTTCTTTGAAGTTAGATATTAAACCAAAGTATGGAATGTACACATGGTTAAGATATAATTATTTTAAATTTAAAGGTATCAAGGCGCGGAATGCGCACATGATCCTTTTATTATTTAAGCATATCAATTCAAGATTCGAGTATGAATACATGGGCTAATATTTAAAGTGTGTCTAAACTTTTTCTAGTGTATTTAGAGTTCTTCTAATTATTTTGTCTCTTTTAGATTCGAGATATATATTTGTATATTTTTATTATATTTTAATTGCTTATTGTAACTAGTCTTGAATTAATTCATGGCTTTTGTCGCTCCCTCGCAATTATTCTTTTATTATAATAATTTTCTTTTATAGAGAGATTTGAATTAATTTGCAACCCCCATTTATCTATTAATAGGCCTTACAATGTGTCTAGACCCAATTAGTTATATTCTCCCTTGAATCTATTCTCGGTGAGAATGTGAAAGAAATATACTCAACAGTTTAATATGAAATATCCGATTAATTTACCAAGGAAAATACTTATGATAATAAAACAAAAAAAACAACAACAACAAAAAAATTATTCAAATGAAGTTCATGAAATGAAGATAAAACTCATGAATCCAATTTATTCTTTAACAGTGAAACAAAGAAGAAATCTATATCCGTAGACTAATTTAAAATAGCTATTCATAATACTAAAATAACTTACAGTGGAGTTAAGGCATAAAGAAATTAATACAATTAACAATTTATTTTTTTAAGGAATTCCTACTAAAATTAATACCTGAAACTTTAGTTTTCATGTCCAAGTAGTTAACAGTTGTAAACATTTATTCAAAGAAGAAAAAGTTTTCTTTATATAAAAGAAACTTACTAGAATCTTATAAGGAAAAATTTATTATAATTTATGGTCTATTTAAAAGAATGACTGGAAAAATTAACTCATTTCTAATGAACCTCATAGCACAATTTTGTGCAAACTTAACTGACCGCTAAATTAACACTAGGAAACTATTTATAGCATCACCATAGTCATTTTAGCCTTAATCTCTTATGAATTCTCTCTTTTTAGTCTTTCACTAAATAAACTAAATGATAACAATTATCCAGAAACATATGTTCAAAAAGAAAAATGACGGATTAAGAAAATAAATTACTAATAAAAGGAACCAAATCCTAATGCTCTGAATTTATTCAAAGAAAACTAAGAAATAACAGTGAAGAAGGATAAAATCAAAACCTTAGCAAAAGAGTTCCAGTAATACAAGAAAAAGAACCAGTACAAACTCCAATCCAATGCCGAAACTCAGGCCGGACAAAGTAGTAGCAACGTCGAACCCGAAGCCACGAACGGAAACTCGACCTCCTAATCACACGAGAATCTCTCAAACTTTTATCTAGAAAAACTCTCTTTCCTTTTGTTTTTGAAGCTTCTTTGTTTCTTCCTCTCACTTTTCACGTTATTTTTCTTATTCAAAGATCTCCTCCTCCTCTCGTTTGTAAAGTCCTCAATTATGTAGTGTTCAGAAACTAGTACTTTGTGAAGTGGGGTGAGATCGTGTAATTGTGAGAGATTAAAGATGGGGGATCGTGTCTGTGTATGTGAGTGAGGGAATTGGGGACATGGGGGGTGGACGTGAGGAGTGCAGAAGTTTGTTAACAAAACTTTACCTATTTTGACATATTTTAACTTCATTATATTTTTTTGTCTTTTATTTTAAAATATAAGGTAAATTATGAAGATGATAATATTGATCAACCACTTTTTACAGCAAGAAAAAATATAAGACAACTAAATATTTGCATATAATTTAAATAATACTAAAAATACCATAGCTTACTTATTAAAATACTAATTAAAGAAACTAAATATTTTTTGTAAATTTTCTTTTTATCTTTACAAATAGAAATGAAATATATTCTATAAGTATGTGGATATATTGTTTTTAATTTCTTTTTTCAAATAAAACCTATTAAGAGTAAGATAAAAGTTTAAAATATTAAGATTATACATTAAAATAGTATAGAATTTGGGTGTGGTCAAAAATTAGGTATTCACAATAATCCCAAAAATAGGTCCAAACTTTACAAGATGTCTAAGACAATGTAAAACAAGTAAACTACTAATATCTAATATTAAGAATGAAAAATCTACTACTAATGAACTAGTTGTTACAAAGCAGCAGGATGTATGCTTCCATCTCCAAGTAGTGTAAGTGTATCCAATAGGCAAGGGAAAACACCAAATAGCACCTCTAATGCTCTCACTAGGTGCCAGGGTATGCATTCCACTGAAAAGGATTCCAATGGACAAGACAAGTGTGGATTCCAGATACATATACCACTGTATAGAAGCAATCCCAAACTTCCAAATCAATGTGTTGATCCAGCTTGATATCTTCCATCTTGATCTCTATTTCACAGAAAATAATTCATCTTTACATTCAGTCATAACACTTGCAGGACAGTCTCTCGAACCTGTACATACAACATTATACCACACCAACTGCCAGCTTAATACCATAGAGGTATATACTGTCTTCTCATCTCCAAAATGAGCATGAAACCACACTAATACCACTGGAAAATGATAGAACAATATACCCTCTATGAAGTCTATAACAATCCACACAGTATAATTATACACAGAATGTGTAGTAGTGATTATTCTTCGTGCATTGGTATAATCATATAATAGACAGTACGAAGCTCTAACAAGATAGGAGATATCATCTTGTAAGTTTGCATTTGATCTAGTGACTTGCCTATTGTCCCTAACATTTTTACACATTGTAAAATTACCTTCAGACTGAGCATGTTTCCATGCTAATACCACTGGAATGTAGTTGTACACTATACATATAAGAGAATAAGAAAGTGCAATGACAAGAACAAGAAGTGAACTCAGAGACTCCTTCATCAATCTGGTACTTTTCTTTTGGCAATCCTAATCCTAAAGTTAGGAATTTGAGCTTTGTCCATGTTCACCAGTGTCTTTCCTTCAATAGGTAAATCATGTAATGAGTGATATGTAACTGTTCTTGCAAAAGAAAAAACCAAGTTAGCTAAAAAAATCAGCAACGACATTGCCCTCTCTCAGCACATGCTGAAATAGTACATTGTAGTTGCTCTTGATCTCCTTTATCTTCCTTAATTCTGGCCCTATATACCAAGGAGATTCCCATTCTCCATCAATGATCTTCCTTATCACCAAAGAATCAGTCTCCATAATAAGAGGATGCAGCTGCATTTCCACACAAATTACCATCCCTTTTAATATTGCCTTAGCTTCTGCCACTATATTTGTTGTTTCCCCTATCACCTCAGCCTTGGCATATACTACATTACCAGCACAATGTCTCACACAAAAGCCATAGAAATTAGGTCCAGGATTGCCTCTAGATGCACCATCAGTGTTGCATGTGAACCATTCTTCATAAGGGGGCTACCGTGTTACTCTCTTGGTTATAATATATGGCTTGTAACCTTCAAAGAATCTGATCATATCTGGCCATAAGAGAGGAATGTTTGGGAGCCATGAATATCTCAAACTTGCGAGATAATGTAATATCTTGTTCACCTCATGAATTACACTATTGCAAGACACTAACCCTACATACTTCATAGTGTTTTCCCTCTTCCAAATTTCCCATGTAATGACTGCTGGAGCTACGTAAAACAATGGCTTAAGTTTGGGTCAGCATGGTGAATTTCAACATGCCCTTATTACTTGATGAACCTGCACCAAATTCACTACCAATCCTACTACCTAAAGGAAAGTCTTCCACAACTTAGTTGTAACTTGTTAAGAACAAGAGTTGAAATAAGTCTTCTTTTGGTTGCAAACTACACCAGCACTTTGACACCACCATATAACCGCTTCTCCTCCACAAATAATCAGTAGGGATCTTACCTTTCCATAATATCTATAAGAAGAAGGAGATCTTGAAAGGTTAACCTTTAGTCCACAGCTTGTTGAATTCAGGATTAGGTGGTTCCCTATGCCTTAAAATTCTCCAAGCACTACTAACTGAGAATTTACCCGAAGGAGTAGGCATCTATCTTGGAGTATCCCAGTATTCATTTGTATTGTCAAAATGTACTTCCACTCTAATATGATCAGCAATATCCCTTGGGAAGGACTACTCCAAGAGTTGCTCATTCCATCTATCACCATCTCTCAATTCAGCTACTTCCTGTAGTTCTTCATTGATTGGAAAGTCTAGAGGAACAATATGATATAAAGCTCCTAATCAAGTCAAATTCTTATGCCAAACATTAGTTACTCCCCTTTTCCTTCCCCATAGTATTTCATGTTCATCCTCTTCTCTAGCCTCCAACATTTTCCTCCATACATGAGAACCCTTTTTAAATTGAACTACTGTTGGTATTTCCTTCTTACAGTATTTATTTCACATGAAATTAGACCATAACAACTTTGAAGTCCTAAACGTCCACCATATCTTGGCAAATAATCCTTTGGAGACATCAACCAGTGATCTAAAACCTACTCCTCCTTCCTCCTTAGGTAGGCACAGATTTTGCCATTTCTTCCAATGTATGTTTCTACCTTTTTCCTTGTTACTCCAGAGTATTTATGTAGATGTTCAAGTATATTATTAGGTGGATCAAGTACAGAAAGGATGTGTGTAGGCACGCTTTGTAGGACACTAGATATCAGAGTAGATTTTCCCCCATAGGACAGTAACTTCCCCTTCCAAGAATGTAACTTTACCTTCACTTTCTTTATTAGATCATTGTAGTAATCCTTCTTTCTTTTTGTGTAGAATATTGGACATCCAAGATAGGTGAATGGAAACTCATCCCTTGTGAATCCAGTAATAGCCCCCATAGAATTAAACAATGTTCCAGTCACATTAGCATGCATATAAAAGAACTCTTTGCCTTGTTGATCATTTGGCCAAAAGTGTGCTCATACTTGGGCAAAACTTCTATAATCTTTTCTAAAGAGTAAGGGTCAGCAGAAGCAAAGATTATAGTGTTATCGGCATATGCTAAATGATTCAATAGATAAGTCCACTTAGGCATGCCAAAGCCTTTAAACCTCTTGTCTTCAAAAAGCTTATTCAAAGACCTAGGCAATACTTCTGCCGAAAGTATGAATAATGTTAGAGACAGAGGATCCTCTTGTTTGAAACCTCTTGTTGAGTGAAAAAAGCCTGAAACTTGACCATTAATCAGCACTAAGTACCAGCTGTTGGCAAGTAGATTCCACACAATGTTGATGAAGCATTCTGCAAACCCCATTTTCCTCAACACATGCATCGAATACTTCCACGACACCCTATCGTATGCCTTTTCCATGTCAAGTTTGATGACTACATTGGCAGGTTTTCCCCTTAATCTTATGTCAGTAACAATCTCCTGAGTTAATAAGATGTTTTCAAATATACTTCTCCCCTTAACAAAGCCTGATTGATTGGAAGAGATCAAAGAAGGTAGTATCTTCTCCAGCCTATCATGAACCACTCTCGATATCACTTTGTTTATGATATTGCTCAAACTTATAGGTCTGAGATCAGAGAAAGTTTGGACCATTGACTTTTTAGGTAACAAGACAAGGTTTGTGTGAGTTATAGACTTGGACAAAGAGCTTCCTCCATAGAACAGTTTCAGCATATTGTGTATGTCTTCCCCTACTATATCCCATCATACTTGAAAGAAAATACCAGTGAAGCCATCTGGACCACTTGCACTCTTACCACTCAAAGCAAACACTAATGCCTTCACCTCATCTCTTGTAGGACTTCTACAAAGTTCTAAATTATGCTCACTAGATACCATTGTAGGTAAATTGTTTAGGAGTTAATAGCTTGTTGGATCATCTCATTGTGTGAACTAATTCTGGAAAAATTCAACTACAACATTAGCCATCAAATCTTGTGAATCAATCCATGCACCATCATTATTCTAAATTCTCTTCAATTGGAGTTTCTGCCTTTTACCATTGACATGGTTGTGGAAAATCAGGTATTTCTATCCCCTTCTGCAAACCATGTCATTTCTGCTTTTTGTTTTCAATACTCCTCTTCAATGCTCAAGTACTTCTTCAGTTCAGCTTGAGCTTGTTGTAGTATTATTCTATTCTCCACTGTTGGATCTTCTTCAAACAATATTTTCTTCACTTTAACCACATCTTCTCTAATAGTTAGTTGCTTGAAAATATCCCCATATGTGAGCTTGATCCATTTAGAGAGAGAAATCTTAACCCTCTTTAGTTTTTGCTTGAACATCAAGAAAGGATCTATAGTAAAGTCAGCCACCCAATTCTGTCTAATCACCTCCATAAAAGATTCATGTTTGGTCCAGAAGTTCAATAACTTGAATGGTTTAACAAATTGTAAGGCTTTATCACCACATCTCATTAAAAGTGGAGCATGATCTGATCATGTTCTAATGAGATGCTCCACTTCTATATTGAGAAATAGGGTCTGGAAAGGCAAATTCACCAAAATTTTGTCCAAACGTTGAATATACATTCTGCATTAGGCCTCCCATTCTACCAAGAAAAGGGGATGCCTTTGTATCCAAGATCAAAGAACACAAAAAGAAAAATCTTTATACTCTGAGAGGTACACTAGCAGTCCTCCTATCGTCTCCTCTTCACTAAGAATTACATTAAAATCCCCTCCAACCACCCAAGATAACTCCATATCACTAGCAAGGTAGTATAGATTATCCCACAATTCTAATCTTTCCAGTAATGAGCACTTTGCATATACAAAGGTCATCATAATGGGCTGACCAATATCTTGATGTTACATTTTGATGGATAACTACTGCTCAGTATCAATCAATAGATCTCATTCCACCACAGGATCCAAGAATAACCATATCTTCCCATTAACATTTGATATTGCAGCTTCCATACCTAGTTTTCTTATGTAGTTCTGAGTAAACCTCTACTTTTGAAATGGCTCCCTAAGTGCTATAATGAAAAACCCATGTTCCCTTTTCATGTTCATAACTCTCTAAAAGGCCTGATGTGTCTTAACAAACCTTATGTTCCATATTAATGTTTTAATATAGAAATTTTAGAAAATTGTGGGATTTCTCAAGAAAAACCTAGAAATCATGTTCTTAGATTTTGACCACGAAATTGGACATATAATTAGGAATAAATTATATATATGAGATCGTGGTATTATGGGTAATGTTTATCTTCGACAATTTTCAGAATTCAGGAACATGGACCCGAGAGTTGACTTTTCGAATGGAGTTGAGGATTATTATAAATTGTCAAATTATAAGTATTGGAGTATATTTTGACTAAATTGCACATTTTTTGACTACGTTTGGATTGAGGGACATCAGCATGAGGTGATGGAGAGACATTGGAGCCAATTATGGAACTTCGGAGCGAGGTAAGTCTCATGTCTAACCTTGTGAGGGAAATTTACCATGTAGGTGTCATTCTTGTTATTTGCTACATGTTGTGGGAGATACGCACGTATGAGGTGACGAGTGTTTGTGCGTATGCTAGGATTCTTGATTATGACTTGGTAGACTTAGGTTCACGCCATGCTTTAAATGTACTAATTGACTTATCCTTGCCTGTATAATTGCTTTATTTCACATCATGACCTGAGATTATACTTGCGTGGAGTAATGGACTTGCTATTTTAGGAATTTGATAAGCTACTTGATTAGCCGCGGAATAATTGTGCTTCCCTTACGAACTTCTCCCGAATTGTACGTGTTCATCGAAAAGCTTCCTTAAAATTTCATAATTCACACGTATATTCGTGAGTGGAGTCGAGGACCCGTTAAGCTTCTTATTCTTATGGGATCGAGTCGTTCGCCTAGGCAGTATCATTATTCTTATGGGATCGGGCTGTTCGCCTCGGTAGTATCACTATTCTTATGGGATCGGGCTGTTCGCCTCGGTAGTATCACTATTCTTATGGGATCGGGCCGTTCGCCTCGGCAGTATCATTATTTCTATGGGATCGGGTCGTTCACCTCGGCAATATCTAAAATGACCCAACTGGTAGTTTTGAGTTCTAGTGCATCGTTCTGTGGTTTAAGGCCTTGAGTAGCTTCACTTCAGGTGTTATGACTTATACTTGTGGTCGGAATTGAATTTCGGGAGGTTCAGAGTTGATTCGGATGAAAACTTCTCATTTCAGAAGCTTTAAGTTAGAAGAGTTTACTAAGGTTTTACTCTTGAGTAAAAGATCTCGGAATCGGGATTTGAAGATTCCAATAGGTTCATATGATGATTCTGGACTTGGGCGTATGTTTGGGTTAAGTATCGGGTCGCCCGGGACCATTTCGACGCTTATTGTGGAAAGTCTGCATTTCGAATTATTTAGAATTTCCTAAGTTTGGTTTGAGGTGGATTTTGATATTATCGATGTTTGTTTGGGGTTATAAGTCTTGGAATAGGTTCGTGTTATGATTTATGACTTGTGCGTAAAGTTTGGCATCATTCTGAAATGTTTAAGTATAATTCAGACGCGTTCGGCGAAGTTTGAATGTTTGAAAGATTAAAGAAAGGTTCGATTGATGATTCATAATTTTGATATTGTTTGTCGTGGTTTGAGGCTTCGACTAAGTCCGTATCGTGTTTTGGGATGTGTTGGTATATTTGGATGCGGTCCCAGAGGCCTCGGGTTTGAAACGAATTGAAATTTGTATTTGAGGGAATACTAAAGACTGACTGTTGAAGTCTGGTGTCATCGCACCTGGGGTGGGTTTGGTCGCAGGTGCATGGCAGGTAATCGCAGGAGTGAAGTAGGCCATCCAGGGGAAGGGCCGCAGGTGCGGAGCTTGGGCGCGCAGATGCGCATCCGCAGAAGCGGAGAAGGTACCGCAGATGCGGAATATGGGCCTTTAGTGCTAGACCGCAGGAGTGGTCAGTGCTATGTAGAAGCATGATCGCATGAGCAAATTTTTGTCTGCAGGAGCAGACTTTCCTGAGCTCAGTGAGAACCTCACCTGCTATGGAAATCTCATAGGTTCAGCTATTGGTCCACTGGTGCGAAAGTCGTTGGGCGGTGGTGCTTTTAAATTGAGACTTAGTTCTCATTTCTCTAATTTTTCTCTTAGGTGGCCGAATTTGGGGAGCTATTTTGAAGAGGTTTTCATCATGAAACACAAGGTAAGTAATTTCTCACTTTTTGTAAGCTAAATGTATGATTTATATGTGGATTTAAGGATGAAAGTTTTTGGAAATTGTGGGATTTTGGTAGGAAACCTAGAATTTATAATTTTGGATTTGACTACGATTTTGGAAATGGAATTATGAATAAATTATATATTTGAGTTCGTAATATAATGGGTAATGTTTATCTTCAAAAAAATTTGGAATCCGAGTACGTGGACCCGAGTGTTGACTTTATTGACTTTGTGAGTGGAGTTGGGAATCATTATAAATTGTTATATTATAAGCATTAGAGCATATTTTGATTGATTTGCACGTTGTTTAACTAGTTTCAGAATGTTTGACTTTGAGTTGAGGTGTTAGAGAGGCATTGGAGTTGGGTATGGAACTTCAAAATAAGGTAAGTCTCATGTCTAACCCTGTGAGGGGGTATTTAACCCATGGGTGCTGTTTTTGTTGTATGCTACATGTTGTGGGAGCTGCGCATGAATGAGGTGACGAGTGTCTGCGCGTATGCTAGACTTAGGTTCACGCCATGCATTAATTGTATTATTTGAGTTATCCTTGCCTGTATAATTCCCTTATTTCGCATTGGGACCTGAGACTAGGCTTGCGTAGAGTGATAGACTCGCTATTGTAGAGATATGACAAGCTACTTGATTAGCCGCGGAATAATTGTGTTTTCCCTTACGAAATTTTCTCGCGTTGTACGTTTTTATTGAAAAGCTTCTTTACATTTCATAACTCACACGTATCTTCGTGAGTGGGGTCAATGACCCGTTAAATCTTCATATTCTAATGGGATCGGGCCGTTCGCCTCGGTAGTGTCATATTCTCATGGGAGCGGGTCATTCACCTCGGCAGTATAATACATGCATCTATGGTTCATGTCGTTCGACCCTCGGTAGTGTACATATTATTATGGGATCGGGCCGTTTGCCTCAGTATTTCTCTAAATACTCTTATGGGATCGGGTAGTTCGTCTAAACATCTTTATGAAACACTCTTATGGGATCGGGCTATTTGTTGCGGCAGCGTCGTAATATTTGATAAGAAGACATCGTATCTGTGAGTTTTCCTGATTTGATTTGTGATGATCTATGTGGTGGGGACCATTTTACATACATACTCCGGTTGAGGAGGTGACCGATACTAAGAGCTTGAATTTACTGTTCAGAGGAGGATCGTACCATGTACCTGTATCTGTTTACATTGTTTATTTACCTTTACCATGAATCATACTTGTTTACCTTCTATTTCACTTGATATATTAGACCACTAGTAAATGTCGATGTCAACCCCTCGTCACTACTTCTCCGGAGTTAGGCTAGATACTTACTGGGTACACGTTGATTTACGTACTCATGCTACACTTGTTGCACTTATTGTGCAGGTATATATATATATATATATGATGGTATTTGGGGCGCAAAGGCGCAGCTATTGCGGGGACTTCATGATGAGATGCATTCTATGTTACGACCCGAAGCATACGGAGTCTACATCTTAATTAGTTACATTATCCTGTCTATTTTGTACTCCAGACAGATGTTGTATTGTTATTGTACCTTCTAGTAGATGCTCATGCATTTGTGACACTATTTTGGGGATTCTTCGTGGATGTTCATTATCATAGTTCATGTTATTATTATCATTTCACCTTGTAATTTTATAGTTT